GTTTAGGTTGGAAAAGACCTCTAAGATGGTCAAGTCCAATTGTTAATGAAACACTGCAAAGTCCACCACTAAATAATGTGCCTTGGTTTAGGGTCAGGACTGCCCCCAGAACTGTGACAGACACTCTCTGTTAACCCCTCTCACCCCTGAAGAGGAGGAGAAAGAGAATAAGGGAGACAGACTTATCGACTAGAAAAGTAAAATAGCTTTAATGAATTGAATATATACAAATATACACAAACCCGGTATCGAACCAAACTGCCTCTGATGGAAACAGGTCACCATCACCCCCTAGTGCTGGGAGTGGGCCCCGGGGAAAAGTCTCTGGCTGGACTTGGTGGCAGATGGCAATTGGGCACAGGAGCTGGATTCTGGAACTGGGTTCAGGAGCACACGGCTCGGGATCAAAGGCAGGATGGACAGAGTGCTCCTGGGGTGCCAGCCAGTGCAGGAGCAGCCAAAGAGACGAACAGTCTTGCCCCTCATGGTCCTGAATATGAGTGATATGGGATGGAATAGCCCACTGGTCAATTTAGGGTCCTCTGTCCTGTCCACTCCTCCCTGCAGGTGCAGCCTTTACTTTCTGCCCCCCTCCGTGTGGTGCACAGGATTTAGCAGTGACCTTGGTCTGCACACCAGCCCTTGGTGGTGACTCTGAACATGGAGCGTTACTACTGCTAGAAGCAGCCACTGTGAAAATATGGCTTTAACTTCAGAGACTGCAGTTAGTTAGAAGAGCTTTAGCTGAAAAGTAGAATCACTGGACAGAATTAATTCTGTTCTACCCCAAATCAGGACAGAGGATGTTATGTGAGATGGGTGTCAAATACTTTACTAAATTCAAGTCAAACAACATGCACTGCTGATCTCTAGGGCTGGAACTCCCGAAGGCTGGTTTTACCACTAAAGAAGGCAAAGAAATCATGAAGCAGTTAAAAGACTTTTCCATGGCCCCTTTTGTCTAATGTACCTGTAGAAACTTTTCTTGTTGCCTTTCACATTCCTCGTCTGATTCAACTCTAGGTGTTCTTTGGCTTTCCTAATCTCACCCATGCATGACTGGACTGTGTCCCTATATTCCTCTTGGGCCACCTGTCCCTGCTTCCACTTATCACTCACTTCCTTGTTCATATCTTGAGTTTACTGAGGAGCTCCCTGGTCATCCATGCAGGCCTCCTGCTGCCTTTCTTTGATTTCTGCCTGTCAGGATGAACCGTTTCTGGGCTTCAAGGTGGTGATCCTTCAATCAAACATCTGTCATGGACTCATCATCTCTTCAGGCCCATAATCCATGATGTTCTTCCAAACAGATCTCTGAAGAGATTAAAGTCTGCTCTGCTAACTTTCATCCCACTTTTTACCCTTCTCCCTCCTCTCAAAATCCTCCACCACCTTGCGATCACTGCAGTGAAGGCTTTCATACAGCTACTCATTTCTCCAGTATTATAATTATCAGAATCTTCTTGTTGGCTCCTCACTTACCTGCCTCAGGAAGTTGTCAATGCACTGAAAGAACCTGTTCTGGCCTGAAGCCTTAGTTGACCTGTTTATATTCTCCAGTCCAAAGAAAATACCTTTTAATCTAAAACTTCCAGCTGCTATTCTCAGGAAAGATGACTTCATGCTAGTAGGTTTTATCAAAAGCTGCTTTAAGAACATTAAATTTTTTTAAGCTAATTTTCCACACCATTTTCAATTAAACTCATATCCAAATAGTTTATTAGCTGAAAAGATAAACTGCAAAACAGATTGTATCCAATAAGATATTTGGCATTAACATTAATTATCTTATCTCATTAACCTTCATGGCTCAAATACTTTCTTCCGTATTGCAGTTATCTTTGGTTTCACATTTCTGGATCCATTGAGACCTCACAGCATCTGCAGAAAGCTGGAGCTAAAAAGAGCAGCTGCAGGACTGCCCTGGGACTAGGGGAAAGAAAGAGATGATTGGCTCTTCCTGATTGTCCTTAAACTGTGTGGAAAGCATCTGAATGTGATTTACTACAGCGAACTGGTTCAGGTGCAACCTTCAGCACTACTCCTGCAGTATTTGCTCTCAGAGCTACCTCTAGGCTCAATCATTTCCCACTCATGTGGACTTGCTTTGAAAGATGTCTGCTGGAAAAATTCAGTTTCTACAGGAATCAAACAAGAATTGAAATTGCACAGGACAAGCATTCTGCAATTGGAGATCTCCTGGTTAATGACCTTCATTTGCTGTGAGTGATCCCTATACAAATACCTGTGCAGTGCACACAGCCTTCAGGATCCAGGGCCCTGGTGTAGAGAATCAAGGGATGCCAGGGTGTGAGCGTGGTAGTGCTAGGAGGTAAGACAGTAGTAAGGTCACTTGGAAGAGGAGAGCCTCACTTCAGCTGTTTTGGGAATAATGTGCAGTGTTACTCTGACTTCTCCTGTTCTCCTCTGTGCTCTGTCACTTCTCAGTCACTATGAAAAAACTTTATATGCTGATGATACCTTCTATCAATTTCTATCTTTTCTGGGGACTCATTTCTTTTAACCTGTGATTGTTTTAATACATTTCTCTTCCTCAACATGTCTTCAGCTGGTTTTCCTTTCTCTGTAGTTTCTTCACTCCATTTTATCCTGCTTTCCTTTCTCCTTACATCATCTGAAAGGTTATAAGTCCCTCCCACAAAGAATGAAGTTCTTTGGAAGAAAAAAGTGATGTGATTGTCACTCCCTGACCTTCACCATTGTTACCATCATTGCTTGCATTTCTAATATATATCTACAGCCATAATGCTAAAGTTGTCATGGGGTATGTGGGCATCTGGAAAGTGTGATAACTTTTTCTGTCTGCTGGTTCTGCAACAAAAAACAGGAATAGGTTGCCTAGAGAGGTGGTGGATGCCCCATACCTGGAGGCATTCAATGTCATGTTGGAAAGGGCTCTGACCACCCTGATCTAGTTGAAGACATCCCTGCTTACTGTGTGTGGAGGGGAGGATTAGACTAGCTGACCTTTAAAGGTCCCTTCTAACCCCAAATATTCTATGATTCTCTGAAAAAGTACAGCATCACATATAGTCAGTGTTGCAGGTCCAACAACAGTGAATCTCTGCTAATTTTTCTTGTCTTCTGGAATTATAGATGACAGTGGCCCGGATGCAAATTTTCTTCAGTGATTTTGTGGAAGGAAGAAACTTGTACCAGAGGAAGGATGAGTCCAAGCCTGTCTTCTTTCTGGTACTTGTTGCCCTACCACAAGGCAATTTGTGTCAGAAATGGGATAAAGGACCCCCAGAGGAGTCAGAGAAAGTTTTTCTTCCTGCAATAGCTAGTTCCTTCTGAGGAGCTGTGCTGTGAGCATAACCAGGGTTGTCTGTTTAGCAGCTAGGAAGTGTATTAGGTGTATTGTACTGTGTGCTTATCCTGAATCATGGATACCTGTATCATATAAGCAAATATAAGGCATTTGTTTTAAATACAAAATTTATTAATGAATTCAATAATAAAATACCAGCTATTAGTACCCCAAAATAAAGCAAATAACTTGAAAGGCATATGACACAAAAATAATCAGTTACGACAAATAATTTACGATTTACAAACAAAGGCTAGGTTAATGGCTTTCCAAAGTGAGCTAATGTTACAAAACCACATAAGAACTTTCAGCTGAAACTCCTTATGAGGCAAGAGTCTTTTAAGACTGATAATAGCATGATGCTTCATTTCTTGTAGGCACAAGAAACTCCCATTGCCAGTGGTACTGACTTTCCTAAGATACAGCCTGATTATTTCTATCTCCACAGAGATTCATTCTGCTTTGAAATATCTTTATATATATATATATCCCCTCCAACTCCACTCAAACACACAAATGGTCAGTGCTTCTCTTGGTCAGTTTCTCCATAAGTGGTACACTGTTAGATGTCTTTTTTTCCCCACTTTTCTTTACTTTACAGAAGCAGAATTTTACCCAATGCCTGTCTCAGATGTTCTGACAGATGTTGCTCTTTGTGAGGTTCTCTGATGGTCTGTGTCCTGCTGGTAACTGTTTTCCTGCATGGATGGATGTGAATTTGACTCTGCTGCGGGGTTTGAGTATTGCACACCTGTTTGCTGCTGCTGTAGCTGTTGCACAGATAATTCATATGATGGTGGCTGTTCCTGATCATTAGTTTCACTGATGAACTCTGCGCTGCTTTCACTGTATGGGGGTGGAGGGATATTGATGACCTCTTGCTCTTTCAGTGTGAAGGCAACTGGCAGTGGTGAGGTCTGTTTCTCAGGATCTGTGCTCTCTTCATAAGAGGGGGGATAGAAGTCAGGCCTGAAAAAAAGCAAACCAAAAAGAAACACATCATAGTGAAATGTGATTTGTCTCAGAGAGCTGTTTTAGATGCTTTGTCTGTTGTGTTTCTGGAGTTTAGATGAGGCTTAAACTGAAAAGAATGTAAGTTCAAATCAACACAATATATTAATATAGAAAGAGCTGGCATAGCTGATATCATTACCTGTGTCTTTCTGAAAAAATGTTTTACTAAAACATAGCACTCTAAAAAGATGAGCCTTCCTCATGAGAGTTCCCACCCATGGTATTCAAACACTCATGCTTATGAGTATTTTAACAAGTGCCCAGGAAAAGTTTGATTTGGATGAAGAAAGATTGCTGTCCAAAGTAGGTTAAATTAGTGAGTTATTTACTAGTATGATAATAATTTTTTTCCACAGTTTAAAAGTACATTTAATGTATTTCTGCTTATCTAACCAAAATTTGCTGAAGGCTGTTTTTATAGTGCTTTTAGAGCACCCATTGTTGGTATTTCTGGTGCTATTTCCACTGGGTGAAGGAATTTGTATGCAGTGACCTGGTTCAAGACTTTTGTCAGGCCCAGTGTAGATCAGTTTAAGAAACATACTTTCTAAAAACATCAGACTTTGCTCAGAAACAGCGAGGGCAATTACATGAGAAAACCTTAGCAGGGACGTCACAGTGGAAGCTGAAGCTCCCCGCATACCTCAGTGGTAACAAATCGTATGAGCGCATATCACGCAGCAGCACATCTGGAATTGTTTGTTTAGATGGAACTAATGATGCTCCTGCAGGAACTCCATGAAGTTGGTACAGCTGCAGCTGCACCTGCTCCCTCCATGAACGGTTTTGGACCCCTCTGTGTGACCTACCATGTTTCCTGTAGTATACCTTACCTTATGTATTTCTTTATCACAAATTTCTGTTTGCACATTGCTGCTTGCTCTAGCAAATCAAATTTCAGACTACAGTTCTCTCCACAGAAGTAAAATAAAACAGTGACATGTTTAAAATTGGGTAAAATCTTGTATTGCTTCTCTCTGCTTCCAGTATGTTTACAAAATGGCACCCCTCCCTCCCAATTCAAGAGCAGCAGTCTGCAACACATACCTGTCTATGGTGCTGACACGGAGCTCTCTACAGCTGGGATTTTGAGTGAAGGTGCTGCTGCAGCCGCGGTATTTCAAGACTTCATGGAACGTGCTCCAGAAAATGCCAGTCACAAGGAGAAAGAACCCCAAAGCCATAAGGCAATAAAACACCAGCTCATTGTTTCCACATCTGCATGTGGAGGAATTTGTGGAAATGCAAAGAACTCCCAGACAAATAGTGGAGAAACCAAGTAAGAGCACAAAAAGACGAAGGAAGGTGAAAACAGCTTTTGGCATCTTTCCCGGCAGACACAGCACTTGGCTGCTGTATGCTGTTTGTCTGCTGGCTGTCTCGGCTCTCCTTCTCATCTTCATGCATTGGTATTTTATACACTTCAGGATCAACTGGCCTTTGGACAATTAGGAGAAGCAGGCAGTTTTAAGATACTCATTAACTCTTTGAGATACTCATAATCTCTTCTGAGATTAATTTGTAATCTTAAACCTTCTTTGAGGAAGGGAACAGTAACTTCCTGCCCCATTCTTTTGCCACCAAACTCTATGGAATGCAAACAGAACTGCTGCATTTGTTGCATGTTACAATTTGCAGTGGTTTACACAGTTAGTTTCTGTATTTGTTTGTCTTAAAACAACAACAACAACAACAAACCAACCTGTTAACCCTCCCAAAAATATTGTTCATAACTCCCTGTTAAAAGTTTGAATAGAAAATACACTTTCTTAATCACACATTTTTAGCTTTCTTTAGATTTTTGTCTCCTTCTGTCTTTAACACTTTATCCAGCTGCCATGATATTTTTAGTAGTCCTTTGAGAAAGGATAAATTTGTAGCTTGCGATGTGATATAATCAATGAATTTAGGATACAAAATAGAAAGAAAATAAAATTGCATAATGTCAAAAAAGGACATAGGCATACAAGAAATCTTCTTTGTCTATAGGTTCAATTCTACTCTGATTCCTTTGCCATTATTCTCTTCTCTCTTCCAGCAATTTTTATTGACAGAATTTCAGAAGGGTCAGTGCTCAAAGCTATTCAGGAACACCCATACCCAGTTCTCCACTTAGACTTAGACATATAAAATTTATGCGTGCTTGCTACAAACAGATTTTAGTGCTAAATATTCCTACCTCTAATGCAAAAAACAATCTTTGGAATTAGCCTGTGGATTTTCTCCTGGAGAATATAGTCACTAGTTTTTGGCAGAGTGTGGTAAACTCCGTAAAAAGAACTTGACTAGTCTCTTCATATTACCTTGTTTGGAACAAGTTAACATGTTATGTTATGTTTCTGAATATGTTCAACAGTGGAGTGATTAACCAGACCTTGCCTAGATTTGTTGTAAAATCTCGATTACACACAGTGAGAAAATCAGAACATGGGACCATTCAAAAAATAGGCTCGAGTTCAACTCTTTATTGCAATAATGAGTTTATTGCAGGCATTGCTGGATGATATTCAGTGAGGTGGGTTACAACAAATGATTATAAGAATTTTCTGCCATTGCTTATAGGAAAGTTTCTTCCTACCTATGGCAGATTGCCTGTTTCAATACTACAATCTATGGGAGCTGCAGGAATTCTGATATTAATGCAAGAAAACTTTCTACTATAATGCTTGGGTCTGGATACTGTAGGTAATTTATGAAAATCCTGAAGGAGGAAGTAACATTGAATGTCTGCTCAAGCAACACTGTATTTTTTTGCCCTGTATTTATCCAAATGTGGTGGATATTTCTGTTATAAGGAAATAGGAGCTGGTAAAAATCTGTCACACATTCTGATCAAGTACAATTATTGCAAACTCCCACCACTGTTACTGATTCTTTAGTTGTCAAAGTATCTGTGAATGCTTTTCTCACTTTTATTTTCAGGCTCTATCAATCAGAACATCAAGATCAAGAACAAATCTTTTAAAACAATACAAACATTAGACAGAATTTTTCTAAGGTGGGTCACTCTTATGATGTGGCAAAAGTGAAAACACAGCAAGATCAGCTGCTTCCTTCCATAAGTGAGGAATTCAGCCAACAAGTGATTAGGAGTAGTTTTCATTTCAGGGCAAAACCCTCTCAAAGTTGAAATAGTCCTGTTCTCTCAGCCCTCAGGTATGGCCACCTACACAGCACTAAGGAAGCGTGACGATATTTCATGTGCAGGTAAGAGTATGAGCGAGTGCCAGCTAATCTGTGACTGATATGATAAACCAAGTGATATAAGTAGGGTGCTTCCCAGACTGCAGTCTCGTCTGGAAATATTTATTGTAAACCACTGTTTCCTTTACCAGAAGTCACATATTTCTTTTTTTCTGATCTGAGTATCTGCAACTCACATTCACGTGTAGTTTTCTGTACTGTGTTTACCCTGTTTGATGACGACAAGAAGGAAATCGTTGTACTAGTAATTATTAGGATGTCAATATTCTTGTAACTCTCTGGCATAAGAGTCTGATACCTCAGGATCATTGTACGCAATAGCAATTCACAGACATGTTGCAATACATTCAATCTCCAGATGCCTTGAATGCACAAATCTGTTGTATGTGTTCCACTTAGATGTCTTCAACCCTTAATCACAGCCTGTACAAAGGCAAATCTCTCCTCCTTATATTTTCATACGATGTAGCTGGGGAGGCAGGTAATGATTTTGTGTTCATCTCTATACTTCAGGCTACCTCCTCACAGAAAGCCTGCTAATAGTTTTGGGAAATACTTTGTCTTTCCTGCTTGTGGATGAAGAGAAACAAAATTGCCAGAAAAGCTTCCCTTTGGGAGTTTTTGGCTTGTTCACTGCCACTGCCACAGGTTTCCAGCTGTGCAGTTCAGCTGGGGAGGTGGTTAGTAAATTTTGGATAGTAGTAGTAGCAACCTGATTCTCAGTGCTGCATGCCCCTCACCTGCTGGTCCCTGAAAGATCAAAACAAGCTCTCATTTCCTCTCCAGGAATGTCCTTTTTCTCATCCAGCTGTCGCAGATCCAGGGCTGTGTAACAGCACAGGACCTCCATTCCT